ACAAGCTAACCTGCATCCTGATGTGTTACGACAGTTTCTCTCGGACACACTTTTACTTGCAACCGCAACTTAACTAGGTATAACAAAACCGGATCTCCGTATTATAATTTCTTAAATGTAACACCGTGTTCGCGATAGTCAGACAAACTTGCGAATGTTAAGCGAGTGGAGGTGCCGTAACCTCTTACTTAACTTCCCTCTCTCTATATTTCAACTTGCATATAATTTATGCTTGTAGCGATGTTCAACGTAACTGTGCGTCATTGGGCCGTTACGTGAAACGTAATGGCGAGTGGATTGAATAAAATTAAATATTGATTGTAAATAATATTAATATATTCAAATGAGGTGGTGATGATCGCATGGGTGCTGGTTCTACTCTCTCTCAAAGGCTAAGTATAAGTATAACCATTCAGCGAGAAATAAGCAGCCTACGTTCTTGGCCCTATTAGAATGGAAGTTGGACTCTATGATAATTTTAGTTCTTATTTACTTTTTTTTTAATATTATAATAGGTATTCCAATTGATAATCCAATATATCATCATCATTATAGTTCACAAGTCCACTGCTGCACATTGGCCACCCCTCCCCCACAGCACGGTCCCGAGCATTCATGGATGCAAGTGATCCATCGACTTTCGACTCCCTGCGTGTTTCATCATTTAGTTGGTTGTTGCACTACAACTCGCAATACGAAGTCACCAATCTGTACTTTGCTTCGCCATCGGTTGTCAGTTCTTCGAAGTATATGACCGTACAGCGCTACTGTGGTACACATTTCATAAATACATACGCAAAATGGATTGAACCCACATTTATATTTTCTTTTTTATAAAAACTAATCCTTAGGAAGTAAATATATACTTTCATAATTGAAAAACAATACTAGAAATCAATAACTTAAAAAAACACGTACGTGGTAGAGCCATGCTGCAGCTATATTAATACTATAGTTGCAGCACGAATGGGTCGGCTCGACCAGGGAAGGACCACGCTCTCACAGAATACCAGCGTAAAATGGCAGCTTGACACTGCTGTGTTTCGTATGGTGAGTGTAGAGAACCGGAAACCCATTTCACTGGAAAAGAGGCATTCCATCTTAGTTCTCACGGATAACGACGCATCTGCATTTTGATTCTTTATTGAGGATAAAGATGTCTATGGGTCACAGCAACCACTTACTATCAGGTGGACTGTGTGCTCGTTTGTTACCCTTATTCTATGAAAAAAAAACACATAAAATTAAAAACAAACCGCAGCAAGCCTGGCTGGTATACTCGTACATCAAATACTGATCCAAAATACAAGCTTCAAGAGCCTACTCTATTTGAAAAGGTCGGTAACACATCTGCAATTCGCCTGCTGTCGCAGTTGTTCATGGGCGGTGGTAGTCACGTACCACTAGGTGAGCTGCATGCTCGTTTGCCCCTTACATAAAAATAAACTACAATTTGTCATGTAAGTAGCTTTTTGTCGAGTGGATCATTTTTACTCCTTCGCCACTCCTTACTCTGTTGGCGATGATTGGATGTTGGGTTTATAAGTCCTCGTAAAAATTTCCGGATTACATATACGTCGAAAGTAACTAAACGGGCGATCAGGGTTATGCACAGAAATAGACATTTCTCTTAATCCGATAATATGTAACACATATGAGAAGAATGGATAAGGCCAATCCTTAATTAATAGAATTAGAATCTGTGGAAAAAATCTTACCTAGTGTGAAGGTTACCTATCTCCCTCTCTCCAGCAACTGAGTGCTTTATTATCACATTTTACTCATGTGCTATTATTGCAATCACTACACTAGGAGCGTAGGTACATAATTTAAAATTAAAAATTTTGTACTGCCGACTTCAATATAAGTTATTAAGAATAACTCAAAAACTATTGGTCTGACCTTGATCAAATTTATATGGGACCACACGAGAAGTATCAACTTTCATATAAAAAAAGAATCATCGAAATCGGTACACCCAGTGAAAAGTTATGAGGTAACACACATAAAAAAAAACATACGCGTCGAATTGAGTACCGTCTCCTTTTTGGAAGTCGGCAGAAAACATTCCACTGTCGATAATACTACACATGTATCACTACAAAATGAGGCATCATTAGGAAACATTGAGATGATTACCTAGACTAAGGCTTAGTGCATATCTATTCCTAATTCAAGACAAATGTAGTTGTATAGTATACACTTTCCATCAGTCCAACTGTTGGACTGTGTATTTTCCACCAACTGCAAAAAGGAGACGGTACTCAATTCGACTGTATGTTTTTCTTTCTTTTTTTATGTGTGTTACCTCATAATTTTTTTCTGGGTGAACCGATTTCGATGATTCTTTTTTATTTGAAAGCTGTTACTTCTCATGTGGTACCATACCTATATAATTACTATACATTTGATCAAGGTCTCACCAATAGTCTTTGAGTTATACTTATAATTTATATTGAGAGTTGAGACCGGTTGTACAACATTTTTAATTTTAAATTATTCTGTTCAAAGTCAAAGTCAAATATTTTCATTCAAAATTATCTTCTACAAAGCACTTTCAAAGTCGAAAGCTACTTCATCGCTTCAACAAGTCCACTGCTGAACATAGGCCTCCCTCATAGATTGTCACAAGTTACACTTATTTCTTTAAAATATAACTAACTAGCGTTCCGCTCTGGCTTAGCACGGTTGATTTCTGGATCTCGACAACAACGTCACCTACCGGGTCTAATTGTGAATCTAAACCATTCTCTAATCAATTTAATTACACACACACAAAACTTCATCAAAATCGATATAGACGTTTAGGAGAGTTCAGTCACATACACACGGACAGAAAAATTATACAATATATAATATGCATGTATTATACATATAAACTTTTTGCTTAAATTATTATATCTACTGCTGAAAACCGCATCATTATTTGTTGAGTAATTTAAAAGATCTAAGCGTACAGAGAGAGACGACGGGAAGCGACTTTGTTTTATACTATGTAGGTATCATAACGGCATAAGGCGTCCAAATCTGTTCGTAGGATTGTCGTAGGTAGGTCTTTACAAGCACCACAGACAATTTATAATTAACACTTTACCAGTCTATCCTTTTCATCATCTTCAAAGGTGCGAGACGTCATTTAGTGCGATCGACAATCCGGCTGATCAGCGTGACATTTAAGACAAATCTCCTCTAAACAGAGAGAGGTCCATAGACTTAGAACTCTAAGTCCTGTGTCTAGCTGTGGACTTTCACGGACGATGATTTATTTGCGTTCACTGCCAAGATGTAAAAGAAAGGAGTTCCTTTCCCATATAAAATAAATTAAATTGGTTTTATTGAGCACTTTCTTAAAAAATATATTTACAAGTGTCATTACAGTTACCGTTACCGCCTATTAAACTCTACTGCTGAAAACAGGCCTCCCCCATAGAATGCCTCAAAGTGGGACATTGGCTGGGCAAGCAGGTTGGCAACCGCAGTTTTTTATTTTTAGTTGTTATTAAGAAGACGCTGCTGATCATCTCTTGATTTATTTCCTTCTGTTACCTTTTACGACACCCACGGAATGATATAGAGTAGTGAAAAATTCTTACACCGCCACTACTCGGTGTTATTGCATATGACGTAAACAAATACAATGATATTATTTCTCATCTCACTGAGGTGACCTCAGTCCCCCGTGACCACGGGTGCTGAAAAGCACCCGAAACGTCGGGAATATATAAAAATAAGATAAATAAGTTTAGTAAACGCGAAAAAATCCGTAAAAGTAGTTTTATTCAATGTGTAGTGTTCGCGTAAATATAAGAAATCATTATGATATTATTTCTCATTATTTTCTACCGACTTCAAAAAGGAGCCGGTACTCAATTCGACTGTATGTTTTTTTTATGTGTGTTACCTCATAACTTTTTACTGGGTAAACGGATTTCGATGATTCTTTTTTTATTTGAAAGCTGGTGCTTCACATGTGGTCCCCTATAAATTTGATCAAGGTTTGACTAATAGTTTTTGAGTTATTTTTCATAATTTATATTGAAGTCGGTTGACCAAATTTTTATGATTATAAATCTTTAATTGTGCGTCATGACAATGGCGTAAGAGAATCCATTTCGTTACATATGTCTAGTATATACATATATCTATTTTCTGAAATATTAGTGGCATCAAATCGGCTTTTACATCTTTTTTTTTCACTAACTAAACCCAGTGCTTGACTACATACCATCTGACGGTGGTATAACTGCAACCACGGATGGCAAAGCATACTGTTTTAGTTTAGCAAAATCCTATTCACTCTTGCCTTGAAGATAGCCCACATTGTAATGGAATGAAAAGATAGATGCTGGTAAATTATTCCATTTCTCTTCTGTACGCATTACGAAAGACGAAGCCAACCGCTTGATTCGACTGCGTGGTACGAGTATGTTGATGGATGGGTGGCGAAATTTAATGACAGAAATGAGATAAAATCCTGTAAAACACAGAAAGCTGGCTACTAGGCGCCTTTACCGATGCTGGTAATATTGGTTTTAAACATGTTGAAGTCACTAATAAGCATCTTAGCACGCTTTCCTTTTGAATCCAAAGCCGCTAGGTGCCACTTACGCTATAGCGACCGCTGGATAATAAACGTTTTTAAACTGTAAAGACTGGCATGAATTACTCCTGATTACAACGCTAGGTAGATGAAAACTCGATACCTGTGCACTGGTAATCCTGAATTCAATCTTTTAGAATGGACCAACCGCCGTCAGCTAGCTAGTCTCCAGGGTATCTTACATCAGTTAGCACTGCGTGTAGGGATGTCCATTTAAAGAATTAAGTATTTCTCCCTAACCTCATCAAGACCAAAATCTATTCATCAATACACAAATAATTGTTTCGTAAAAATGTGATTTTTGTTTTCAAGCAATACACTTTACAAATTAATAAATATTACATGAATGTATTTTAATATGGCAGCGAGTGTTGAAGATGGCTCATCCGTGCTGGCGGACTATCCTCGCCCATTCCCATGGGTAGTTTCTCTGAATATATGCTAGTGTACGGCGTATTTGTCGCGTCTCCTGTGTTGTACATTGGGGGCAGGCGCCACGAAGTACTAAGGGAGCTAGAGCTGTAAATAACATAACATAACATTACATCAATAAATTGATTACAATCATTAATCTACTTGCTATTAGTTAATGTTTTAAAATTGCTTAAGCTAATTAAAACACATCGATTAGAATCATTTGAAATTTTAATGTTAAAAACTTAACGTGGTAGAGCCTTGCTGTAGCTATATTATGGTTGTAGCACGAATGTGTCGGCTCGACCAGGGAAGGAGCAGCTTAATGCTGTTGTGTTTCGTAAGTGTAGGGAACCGGAGACCCCTTTTACTGGAAACGAGGCATTCCATCTTAGTCCTTAAGATTGACAGCGCATCTGCATTTTGATTCTTAATCTATACAAATAAATAAAATTGAAGTGTCTGTTTGTAAAGTCAAAATTTACTTTTTACTAAATGCATAAGAATGTATATACGATACTTATAACAAAAACACAATTTTAAAATTTTTTGTCTGTCTGTCGGTCTGTCTGTCTCTCCGTCTGTCTGTCTGTCTGTCTGTTTGTTCCGGCTAATCCAGAGATTAAAAGTGAAAGTCCCGTCAAAATCGTTTTAGAAAACGGCTGGACCGATTTTGACAGGACTTTCACTGGCAGATAGCTGATGTCATAAGAAGTAACTTAAGATACTTTTATTTTAGAAAAATAATTAGGGTTCCGCGCAAAAAAACTAAAACCACAAATAACACGCGGGCGAAGTCGCGAGGAATAGCTAGTCGAGAATAAATGTAGATGTCTATGGGCTACAGCGTGCACTTAATTGTATAAAACCACTCTAATTCTATAAAAAAAATTAAACATGCTTTTAATGGTATGATAATAGGAAATTGTGCCTGAAGTAAGCATCTAAATCCCGTCCCTTTGTTTTTACTAGGATACTTGCAACATTTTTAAACACGATTCCTGTTAGAAGCGAGCATTCTCAGAATTAAACTTAAATAAAGGGGCAAAGTTCCGTACAAACTAAGTTGGGAGTTGTCGGCTTCCCCGTGAAAAGAGTTGACAATTGAATGAACCAAAGAGATTTAAATATAACGAACTTAAAATGATGAATGAATATGACGAATTTAAAAATGGACGAACTTTAGAAACGGGAAACCAGCTACCCTTTTTGAACTGCTGCTAATTTAGGGAGTTTATAGATATTTACCGTTACTGCCTATTAAAGTACATTGGCCTCCCCCATAGATTGCCTCATAGGGGGGATATTTTTCATAGTTGCCATGCTTGACAAGCGGGTAGGCAACCGTAGTTTTTTATTTTTAGTCGTAATTAGGAAGACGCTGCTGCCCATCTCCTGATTTGCTTCCCTCTGTCGCCTCTTACGACACCCACGGGATAATATGCGATAGTGGATATTCTTACTCCGCCACTAGATGGTTCTTTAGGTATTTAAAGGGTATGAAAATTACTTAAAAGGCAAAAGTAAATGGGGGTTCGAAAATGGCTCGAAATGATTCTAGAAAATATGTTCTATCGGTGCGTCGCCTTTTTCTTAGTTCTTTGAATGGTCTATTTGAATTTTACTGATTAAGGAAAGAAATTTACATTTAACTAAAAATTATTGATTTTAATTTGATAACGCATCTGCATTATGATCCCTAATCGAGGATATATGTAGATGTCTATTGGCCACAGCTTTCACTTACCATCCGGTAGACTGTGTGCTCGTTTGTCACTCTTATTCTATAAAAAAAAGAACATGAACATATAATATGAAAAATAACACTTATGTAATAATAAAACAAAAACTAAAAACTTTAAAAATCCCTTAGTTAAACGCTCGCCTTTCTGTCGTAATGTTGTTTTAATAGAGCGCGCTTTCTATTTCTAACGCAACCGCAGCAAATTACGTTGAATAACATTTGATTGTTTCAAAAGCGAAGCCATGAAAAATTAAAAAAAAAATGGTTTCTCACAAAAATTACTTAAAGCTTAGGTATTTTAGTCTACCTACTATCTCTTCGCCTACCACATTATAACAATTCTGAATATTTTTAGGCTCCTTATAAATTCATTCTCTCCAAAACTAGCAGTTTATAACATGTCTATAAGTGCAAATGTATAAATGCGAAAGTTTGTTTGTTGGTTTGTTCTAATTTTACGCAACATCGGGGCCGGAAAGTGACATAGGCTACTTTTTATTGCGAAATAATGTACGATTCCTGTTGGATAGCTCTACAGAGTAATTTCATAATAACCTCTTCATGCGAATGTCTCAACGAATTTGATAAAAATTTGTAAAAATGCAAAATTCCTTTCGAATATTTAGAAAAGCTATAACATTTAGCATAATTCTATAACTCTCTCTTGAGCCTAAAATAGCTACACAGATTTGATGAAATCTGGGACAGAGATTTCTTAGGCTTTGAAATAACAAATAAAATACTTATTATCTCGAAAATATACACAGCTCCTGTGGGAATTAATTTTAGCTGAATTTAATCCGTGTTCGGATTTGTGTGTGTTTACTAAATCTATAGGTAAGTATCAAGTGGGTATAATATTTTTTTTGACGGCGGCGTGGAATATAATATTAATAAAGGCCGTAATAATCCACCCCGGCTTTGCTCGGGTGATTTCAGGACGGGTGACTTACGTGTCTAATTGTGAATCTAGACCATTCTCAAATCAACATAATCACACATAAAATTTCATCAAAAATCACACATACAAAATTTCATCAAAATCGGTCCTGCCGTTTATGAGAAGTTCAGTCACATACAGTACAGTGAGAAGAAATTTAGTGTGCGTGGGCTCGAGAGTAAAAAATTGTTTCTTGGGACAATGTAGGTAGATATGGTATGTTTTTACAAAACGCAAAAATTTTTAAACAATGATTGTATAAAAAAGGTTATTATAATATTAAGAAATTTATACACGATAAAAGCCCCTGAGAATGAGGTGATCGCTACCAAGCTATTTCTAATATGATCCGTTTAACTATGTAATTAAACATGATTGGGGATTTCTTACTGGTTGACATTTTCCGAACTATTGGTAAATTAAGCTTATGGATGTCTTTCAATAGGTATTATTTATAATCTATATTAAATTTTAAAAATCTAGTTCGAAACTTAATTGAGGATATGGCTAGTTTACTTTAGCTATTTCCATAGCATAATGTCGTATGGTATTTTGCTATGGGGACACGCAGCTGTCACTGAAATTATATTTGTTTACAGAAGAGGGCCATAAGAGCAATTTATGATTTAAAGCCTAAAGAGTCGCTGCGACACAAATTTAAGGAAATTAATATATTAACTATGGCCTCTCAATACATTTATGAAAATGTAATGTACGTACACAAACAAAGATGTTTTATAGGTCCAGATACCGTGTTGCTAACACACCGCAACGTTCATAATGAAGACAGTCTTTGATTCATGTGTGCGTGAGTACCACGTGACACGCATATCTTACGCACCATGGCTGCATTAATGTGCGTGACTTCGGTAATAACAGTGCGAATCGATTACCCAAAAAATGTGGGAGATTTTATATTTCATTCCTATTGACGTACCTACCTATTGATTCTAAGAGTATAAAATGTGTGTGCGTGGCGTGTGCATTTGTGTGTGTGTGTGTGTGTGTGTATGGGGATATGGTTGCTTATTTGTGTTTTATCTAGGTACGAACATCGCACTAATATATTGAAGATATGTAAAAAACCTATAATTAATGTAACAGTTAAAATAAATAAAAAAGCACAGTAGATATTTATGTATGTAACATATATTTATAATCTATTATTACTAAATATATACAGAGTACTACACTTTTGTACTGTAGAATACAAAATATTGACACTTTTTACGAAGACATTAAATTATTTTTCAATCCTAAGTAAAATGACGAAAAAAAGTAAGTTTGGTTAAGCGTAAACTTCAGCCAAGAGATAGCAAAATGTTTATTTTTTTAAAATTGCTCCGTTCCGTTGCTGCGTGAAGGAAGGACAAAAACAAATAAACAAAAAAATCACACTTTCACATTTATAATATTATATTAGTATGAATTGTCAAGAATGATAGATAAACTTTTAAAACCGGTTTACAATCGGCTTTTTGAGGGTGGAACTATACCGGTTACACTATAACGGTTCTGAGTGACCAAAAAGGATAGAAGCACAGGAAAGGGCAATTTCATGCTGCCAGATGTAGTTCGACCCTAACCCTTAAAACGGTTTAACTCTATAGGTTGGGTAAAATCTGTAAAATTAGACTGTTTAAAACCCCTATACAGATAACCTTTGTGGTTGATCATGACATTAAAAAATGGTAAAAACATTTCATAAACTAGGCAACACTCGAATATTATTGCGCAGTATTATTACTTGTATTGACATTTAGCTTTCGTATTCTTTTACAAAGAAATACACCATAAAATTGTATAGTTACTTATGAAAAGTGATGTTCTTATCCTTATCTTTTTTCCAAGAGTAATTTTTAAATGATTTCACAGCACAAACAGTCATTTTGCGAAATTAAAAACACCGGTGCGTGACGTATGTTCACAGCGAACGTCGCTGGCGTAATGGCGGAACGATCGAACGAATACGCCAATATTGGCGCCTTTGAAATGGAAGCGTTTTAGTTGCGCGTACACGGTATCTGGACCTATAACATATCTTTGTACACAAAAATAAAAGTAGTTTTACAAAAATAAGTGATATTCATTCTGTAAATACTAGGAACAGACAAAAGCTAGTAGTACCAGTTACTCGACTCCATCGAGTCACTAATTCATTCTTGGGGCGATGTATACGCTTTTACAACAAAATTACAGAAAATATACAAAATTTGACCTGCTCAAAGTTCAAAAACTTTATTAAACTAAGTTTGTATAAAAAGGGTTATTATAATATTAAGGAATTTATGGATGATAATAACCCCTGGAAATGAGGTGATCGCTACCAAGCTATTTCTAATTTGTTGTGTTGTTAATTTGTGATTGAAATATCGTGATTGTAAGCTGTTATTTAAAAAAAAGTCCCGCTGGGTTTCTTGCTGGTTCTTCCCAGAACAGAGGTTTTTTCCGAACCAGTGGTAATCAAACAAAAGAGTGACTTTCAATAAGTACTATTTATAATCTATATTGAATAAAAAAAGTTTCTGTTTCTGGTATCATTATCTGATAAAAGGGTGGAAGCTGCATCTGACGTGAACATGCGTGTGCAACTTTATAATGACCAACAATCAGATGCCTATGCAATTAAACTGCTACTAATCGTAAAGGGTCGACTGGAAACAGACGCAGTGGGCAAAATTTTACTTTCATTTGAATTTTACCAACCAGTGACTATAAAAGATGAACGCACAAGTTTTCCCTAATTTAATGAATAGGTAATATCCATACAGAAATATTCTCAACTATGGGATATGTGATAGAGCAATGCTGTCATCCTGTCATCAAAATTAATCTCATCTCATATTATAATAAAATCAAATAAGTAGTAGTACACGTGGCAGTCGGCGAGTAAAAAATTTACTCATCGATAGATACTATAATGGCCAGTGAGCCAGACACCCCACAGAGTTTCTCAACTCCTTGGATTTGACTCGCGTGCCTTCGCATAAGTTGAAACTAAATTTGGCGTCCCAATTCTCATAGTACTGATGGGTAACCTTGAGGCATCGAGATTGTGCAATGGTACCAGGCTGCATTATCACAGATCTTTCATCTTTGAATATATATTGCAATCTATATACATAAAATGATAGAGGTTTGCAATTGTGCGCGCATCACGGCAAAACTACTGGATAGATTTTAATTAGGTTTTCCAAGTTTTATTTCTTACATACTTGGCCCTTATCAAAACAAAATATTGCGATATCTTAATTTAATATAAAGTTATTAAAGTTTTAAGAAACAACTATTTTTATAAGGAAAATGTGTTCAGTGATGTGTTTTCTTGCCGCGGAGATGTATCCTATATATACGAATTATATGATTTATATGCTTGCTTTTATAATATGTATATCGAAAACTTTGTTAACATATCAAGCTACGTGGACGAAGTAGCAGATATCAGCTAGTTTTTAAATAAAATTAAAAAAAACATTGCAGTTTTGCCAATCTACATGTTAATATATTATTGTTATTATTGTTGATTACAAACATGAATAGCAATCATTTTTAAAAGTATTTTAAAAATTAAATTGCTGAACAATTTATAAATTGAATTAAAAATACTTAAGGTGTTATTAGAAACGTGAGTACCCTCATTAGACAGGCTTTTAAAATTACAATTAGATTCCATAAGCCACTTTCAGCAATCATCTTAAGTACCTAGTTATCGACAAATGAAACTTCCAGGTAACCTGCTTTGTGTCCCCCAACCCCTTAACTTATTAAATTATATTCAATAAAAATCTTAAAGTTCTTAGTAATAGCTTTTATTGATTTTTTTATTAATGCTTTGTTTTTTGCTTAGCTTAAATTTGATAATAAGCAGCTCCGTATAAATTATAAAATGACACTTAATCCCACTTAGTTCTACATGGGAATTGTTACGAGTACCTACACTGCATCGAACACAATTTTGGCTAACAATTTAATTGATTATTACAAAACAAGATTTCAATTATACTATATATAGTACATTACAGGATTTATATAAGATGTTTTTATATCTATATTTTGTAACTTTTTACGAATATGGCCGGCAATGCATGTATTGTAACAATATGATTAATTAAAATCGGGATTCATCAAACTTTTTTTTTTAAGTTGTAGAGTCTTTAGTAGAGTCACTTGCATACAGTAATTATTAAACATTAAATAAGAATATTCTTTATATCAAAAATCATAATTATTTTAAAAACGATTTAGACAATAACAAATTAAATTTGTATCTCGTTCATTATGTTAACATAGTTAAACACCTATACGATTCCAAAAAAGGGAAACAAAGGGTGTTTTTGGCATTCCTTGGAGGAGCCTTATATTCATCAGTGGACATGTGAAAGGCTGTTCTAATGATAATGATGATGAAGTATACGTTAGTAGTAAATATTTTACCAAATGGTATAGCTTCATTTCTGCCGAGAAGCCTGTCTGGGTAGACACCAGCCTTATACTATTTCTGGAGTTCAGCAGCAGTACACTTTTCGTATCCTATCTAGCCATTAAAACGATGGGCCACGTGAAATTACAATCCTCAATGGTGACAATATATCATTATTTGTTGTATGTTCTCTAGTGGCTCCGGCATAAGCCAATGATCGAATACGGATTGGATGGATTTAAACGTGGTAGAGTCATTGTGCAGCTATATTATGGTTTTAGATCGACCAGGAGGAACCACACTCTTACAAAATACTAGCGTTAAATAGCAGCTTAATGCTGCTGTGTTTCGTATGGTGAGTGTAGATAACTGGAGAACCTTTTTACTGGACACGAGGTATTCCATCTTAGTCTTTAGGGGTGATGACGAATCTGCATTTTGATTCTTAACCGAGGAAATGTGTGCTAGTTTTTCACCCTTACTCTATAAAAATATTTTTTTATTTTTAATCTGGTGTACTGCTGATATATTATTAAAAAAGTGAGTCAATTTAAAGATTTTGGGCAGTCAGTTCGAGTACTATCATAATAGCCACATAATGGTAATGCGGCACATAGGCGACAAAAAGTAATTTCCTAAAAAAATGTTTTACATTTCGCTACATTGTGTTCTTTTAAGCTGTAAAATAAATATACAAAAATAATAAACTTACTTCTAAGGCGTATGCCAACTGGGTCACATGGTCCCTCCCATAACGCACACTTCAAGTAACGTTGCATAGTATTTTTGTCGGATAAAGCTTGCTCCAATTGTGCGTCTGTCATCGTCGGAGCTGCATATGTTACTGTTGTAAATATACACAAAACTAGGAGCCATAGGAGCAACATACTCTGAAAAAAAAAAACCTATTTTATTAGACCCTTTTCAACCGACTTCAAAAAAGGAGTGTTGTCAATTCGTCGAACTTTTTTATGTGTTTGGTGAACCGATTACCCGAAAACGCCTGTACCGATTTGGAGAATTCTTTTTTTATTTGAAATCTGGTGCTTCTTATTTATAAATAGAAATTTGATCAAGATCTGACCAGTGGTTTTTGAGTTGTCTTTAACAATGCGTATTTAACTTCGACTTGACTTCGACTACATTGATGATGTTCTCATTTTATTTATATTGAAGTCGGTTGTACAATTTTTTTTTATTTTACCACTTGTTAATGGTAAGGATACATTTCATCTTAATTCTCCAAAATAAAAAAGAACGCAAATGAGCGTTTTGATTCGTAGTCAAGGATATTATTATGTATTTGGACTACAGCTTATACATACCATCATCATGGACTGTATGCTCGTTTGTCACCTGTATTTGTAAAAAAAAATATATATATAGAAATATTATCACTATCAAAAAAGTCCTAAACGATCCAATAAATTCTTTAAATTCCGAGAACATCCACCGTGATCTTTTTATCCAGGTAGGCTGTTTATTGTCTTGCTTATTAACCATGGGTGTCTTCAAGGCAACATCGACACTATACTCAGATGGTATTGAATATTTTTTTATTCGACATAGATTTTAATAAACAATATTTCTTGACCTATTACTACATTTACGTAATAATAATAATAAAGCATTGGCTTATCAGAAAAAAAGTTGTGCTACAGGCATAATTTGCCTTTTTTAAAACTAAAATTCTATAAAAACAAAATTTTATTCATGAACGAAATTGTTATTATTATTATTAATTTTGTACGAAATGTTTAAAAGATTGTGACGAGATTATCTCATATTGTGCTACTGAGTGGGTGGTGGGTAAGATACATAAGTAAGAACAACTTGCCTGGTATTATTAATTTAAGAAAAAGCCGAGGCTAAATTTGCCTTGCCAGTCACGTAAGTTGATTAGGAAAACAGTGATAGATCTTGAAAACGTTTAACTAACAACACTATTGATATATGTACATGCTAAATGATAGCTTAGATGGATAAAATTGTTATGCAAATTATCAATTTAATATATGTAAAAGAATAAGTAATAACAAATATTTACCTGCATGATATATCAAACGATCCAACTTCACCAAAATTTAATTTAAATTTAGTTTTTATACACTGTTACTGAAGACTGGAACTATTTTTGTTGTAAATAATAAATTTTAAGCAATTTGACAACGCCAGCCTGGACGAATAGGGAGTGACTGCCCGGAATCATCGTATTAACACACACCGGGATCACTCCCTCCCCGCTTTGTGAGATCATTAGACCTTAAATAGATATCTTTAACGATAACTCGTTACGAATTCTTTTCATAATAAAACAACGGTAAATGGCTCACTTTGACTCGAAATCTACAATCACCATTATTCCTGGAACAACTAAACGCTTATTACTAAGTAAGAATGTACCTAATTACTATATGTTAATGACGAATTTGTGAAAGTGAAACTTAAGTGCGTATAATTTTTTTGTAGAGGCATTTTAGGTACATTAAACATCCAGGCCCAGTATTTGTGCAGCACACAAATGTCGTCGCTCTGTAAGCTGAATTAAAAAAAGAGAAGAACAAATTGCATATATTTACTAATTGGCATTAATACTATTGTAATATCGTATTAGGAGGCAGTTAAGTTAATCTCAGCATTAAGCACCGCATTGTAGGAAAACTTTCTATCTAAAAGGGAACAATCGTGACCTGCTGATATACCTGCGGCGCATGCTGCAGTAAATAATAGAAGTTATTATGTACTCTCATTCATTTTCATTTTTCTATATATTTATGCAATAAAGCATGTCACAAGTTGATACGCTGAATACTGTTTTATTTCGTTAAACAATCTAAAACATCAAACTAATATATAATTTAAGTACATAGAGAGAAATATTTAAAAAAATATTTTATTGTGTAAGGGGGAAGGTTATTTGTAAGCTTATGTTTAGTAGTGGACTTTACATAGGTTGTAACAATAGATAACAGGTTTTAGCGTCTTTCTTACATCTTTACCCACTTCCTTGTCTTAAGGCAGGTTATGTAAATAATCAACCAGTGATGAAAAAATAAATTGGCAATCGATTTAAGGTACATAACAACATATTACACTGGAATATTATTATTATTATTATTATTATATTACACTTAATCCTAGGGAAATACTTTCGATTTTGAGTAAAATAAAAAAGGAACCTTTATAGGACCATTTTGATTTCTGTCCGTTTGTCTGTTCGTCAGTCAAGGCCCTTTTTTCTGCCGACTTCAAATAAAAAGAGTAGGTTCTCAATTCGACTGTATTTTTGCGTGCTTGCGTGCGTGCGTGCGTGCGTGCGTGCGTGCGTGCGTGCGTGCGTTCAAAAGTGTTCATTGAGACTTCGAGCTGATTAGATTTTCAAGTCAATCGGTCGAGCCGTTTCAAAGATTTACAAAAAATAAAAACCAAAAAAATTAAAATTAAATCCTACTGACATTTTCATTACAGCAATGTTCGATGTTTACCGTATCTATAATTTATGAATTTTATTTCGATGAGGGAGGCACTTACCTAAGCTTACACGGAGCCCTCACGGCGCGAGTCCCGTGTGAGTCATGACCGCGCTAATATCAGAAGCTATTGTGGGTGTATTCATTCGGTTGTCACCAATAGACTGATTCAAAAGAAAGTTACTTAAGTAAGAAGTAGAAGGTTTAGGTATGTAAATTATGAATATTTTGTGCAGATTAGCTAGAAGAGAAGCCTGGGCAGGTTGCTACTTGCTAGTTTTACCAAAAATGTGCAAAAATAATTACTAGATATGATACTTATAGTAATGGATGCCATACACGATCAAGTTTACCGTCAAGTTTGCAGCGCGCTTGAAGCGGCGTCCATTTTGCAATGCATCCATATAGACCACTCACGTTCAAGTTCGCCGTCAAGTTTGTACGATGCCGCATCAGTTGAAACCATGGCGTCATTTGTGACGGACGACGACGCGTCAGCCATCCTAGGCTTATTGTTCGCAATTAAGAAAACAAAACGGAAAGATCGTTAGGTGTGGTGCAAAAACTGGTTAGTGAAACGAAAAAAAGATATCTCATATAAATTTAGTGAAAGAATTGAGGATTGCTCCAAACGAGTATCGTAACTATGTACGAATGAATGGAGAAACTTATTTAAAACTCCTATCTATGGTGAATTCAGAAAGAAGACATTGTCATGAGAAATGCTATTTTGACACATGAAAGACTATTGGTAACTTTAAGATTTCTTGCATCAGGGAGATCACATGAGTGTCTAAAATATTCAGCCATAATGTCGCCTCAAGCATTAGGACGAATAATTCCAGTCACGTGCTGCTATTTATAAAATTCTGCAAAATGGCTATATGCAGGTGAGATAGGTAATAATAATAATAATAAACATTTATTTCTCCCACATTTTACACAGTTACATTTCTTACACAAATAGTTTTACTAGTTTTTAATAGTTTTTATTTTTACGTGCAGTTTCGTGGACACTTGGAAGAGAAGGCCAAATTGGCCTCTAAAAAGCTTGGCGGGCTCAGCAGAGCGGGACAGTATTTCATGCCGGCACAACGCCTGCAACTTTACAAGGGGCAGGTTCGGCCTCACATAGAATTAGGCTTGCCAACCGTCCCGGATTTTCCAGGACGTCCCTCTTCTGGGTCAATTTTGGACCGTCCCGCCGTAACCCCTTGCGGGACGCCTTTTGTCCCGGAAATCAGTGATTATAATTATGTATTAGTATCTATCTCGTACCAACTACACCTTAGCCGTAGCTTTGATAGCACTATATAAAAGCTTTTAGAAAAATTTTTACTTCGCAAATATCCGCGTTATAAATATATAACTTTTATTAACAGGCTTTCCGCAAAGTAACGCCTGATTCTATTAATTATATTTGATAGCACTTACAAATGCAACAGCAGAGAGAATGTTTTCTCTCTGTGGAAGTGCACGGACCGACAGCAGAAATAAGCAGTTTGTTGACCACATCAAGACTGAAATACAAATTAACATTAATTTTAATTTGTATTTCAGTTTTGATCAAAAATGCAGTGAATTTTATAACCAATGTGTTTTTTTTTCTAACTAATTTGTATGTGGTGTGTTGTGTCCCGCGTAATATGCCCAAGTCCCAGATGTCGAACTAGGTAATCCCGGAAAGCCCTTTTTTGGAGTTGGCAAGCCTACATAGAATATTGTTCCCATCTCTGGGCTGGGGCTCCTTCCACTTGACCGCATCCAGCGCAGAGCGGCTCAAATCGTCGAAGACCGAGTCCTTTCCGATCGGCTCGATTCATTGGCGCTGCGAAAAGATGTTGCATCTCTTTGCATTTTCTTTGGCATTTGCCACGGGGAGTGCTCTGAGGAATTGTTCGGATTGATCCCAGCCGCCAAATTTCACGAACGCACATCGCGGTAGAATTCCCGATACCATCCACACCATCTGGATGATTGGCGGTCCACCACTGTGCGATTTAGAAGATGTTTTCTTCCTCGCACAACTTCCTTGTGGAATAGTTTACCGCCATCGATTTTTCCGGACCGATACGAGTTAGGGACCTTCAAGAAAAGAGTCTACTACTTTTTAAAAGGCCGGCAAAGCATCTGTAATTCCCCTGGTTCCCCTGGTGTTGCGGTTGTTCATGGGCAGCGGTAGTCACTTAGCATCAGGTGAGCCGCATGCTCGTTTGCCCCCTCTCCTATAAAAAAAAGTTTAAGCATTTATAATTGTTATGGGAGAAAGGAGCCCAATCTAGGTTACCCCACGCTATGGGTATCCTGGCTCCCACTCTTGGCTTTATTACAATTCGATGATAATATACCTAGACATGAGGTGAGCGTTGCATGTGAAGATCGAATATAAGATTTCTAAAATGTAAATAACTAAAAGA